CCAAGTCGTATACACGTAAAATATTGTTGACAATAACTTGATCACTTACTTATAGTTAATGTCTAGTTACAACATTTAATTTTGAATACCTCATCACTTGTGATATTTTTATTTGTCACTAAAAAAATTAGTTGGTTAGCATTCGGTATACATGACAAACATGTATCACATCTGATAATGATTGAATACCCAAACTCAGGTAGATTGAATGAATTTAATAAAATAAAACATATAACAATAGAAAATACAAAAACGAAACCTTATTCTACAAAAATAACGGTGATTAATTAGTTTATTTCAATTTAATGGGATCATGTTACAATTCATGAAGTCATATACATAATTAGCATAGACATTATTTTAAAAAGAGATCAAGAATTAACTGAGATCACTTGACAGTAAACTTCGTGGAAAGATATGAAATGTTCACAAAACATCAACGACACTAAAAAAATTAACTAAGAGGATTGAACCATGTGTCACAACAGACTCAATAACCAACTACTCTGATATATAAAGGTAGCTAGGAGAACAGTAAGCTGAGAAAACGCTAAATACATAAAAATCAAAGCTATGAAATTAGCCTATGAAGACAATAACTCAATCTGAGAAAGAAAACAAGATGCAGACCCACTGTTTGGGATTTGGGTAACAATTGTTGGAGACCATAGGCAACATAATACGAAATTGGTCATAGTCGTGTGACTGGATTCACTTTAAATCTAGTGTTTACTGATATTAATAGTGTTATTTTCTGTTTTCTGCCTCTCATTTGAGTTGATCTCACCACCAGTGTAACAGTAAAATCCTGAATAAATACACATTTGTGTTCAATTTTGTATTGTCCAAAATTGAACTAAAAAAACTTGAAAAATTGGGAACAACTTGTCAATTAAACATAATACAGAAAAAAAGAATAAATACTTACAATCTTTAGACGCAGACGTGTGACTAACTTCTTGTAGTTTAACAGCGGGAGGAATAAGCATCCTAATGCCTGGCAAAGGAAGTAACGATGTTTGAGCAATCAATGATGGACATTTTCCAAAAGATCGCCTGTTCAATCAATTACATCAGATAACACCAATTGTAAACACCATTACGTCCCGTTTTAGGCATTAGTGTTAGAGCAATAGCATCAACATTCAACGACCATTGTAGGAATATAACACACTGCAACGATACTGCTGAGAACTTTATGGAATGGTGTTGTGCACAAAGGTTCTAATTGAGTTGTAATATATCTTATGAAAATTAGCAGATTCAATAACTCAGGAGAATGATTCAAACATTATCTCCCAAAGAAATTGTACCAACTGTGAGAACCAATACATCGGTAATAGCGGACGCCCCCTCCACCTACGCCAACATGAACATCAATTAAAAGTCAATCGCCATGAAATCTCATCATCTATTTTAATACACGTGGATTACTACGGACACTCATTCGAATGGGAAAATGTAGAAATCTTAGACAGAGGAAACTCCAAAAACACCAGAGAATTTCTAGAAGCATGGGAATCAGGTAAATCAGAAATCAACAAACATATTAAAATCAATCCAATTTATCAACCAATCAGGAAAATCATGCATTTTTATAAGAACTATAATCAAAAGTATGTTAGGCTTGAACAAAAAAAGGAATTGAAAACTGATAAATTTAAGGTCAACTTGAACCAATCAACATAGAGGTGCACAGAACAAGCTGTGAAACACATATGGAGAAAATCGAACACTTCACTTCTATCTGAAGTTTGTGCTGATGATGTCGTTCAGAAGAACGATGAAAGCTCCACGACCAAACCATCCAGCTCAGAGAACAAAGCTCGATCAATATGATCCACCTGAGTTACGAGTATGCTCAATCATCTCAAAATCATATTATCGTTATACGCTTCTCGTTCTTCTGAATTTGGAGAATTTCGCCATACGGCAGGCTTTCATTTTATAACTACTATTTTTTCTCCATGACTAAGTTCGCCAGTATGTTCTTCATTGTCAATATTTAGACTTCCTTTCATATGCTAAGTATTTTGTTGAATAGTTGATTTTTGTGGAAGATAGAGTGAAAACCTAATGCTTATGGATGCGCACTACAGGATCCGCAAATACCTGCACGTCATAGTTGATTAACTGATAAAGCTAGAAAGGATTTTCACTTCAGTACATTTAGACATCGTGACAACGGTTATCGAGATATCATGCAAACTCCATAGAGAATAAATAATAAAAATCTTAAAGAAAAAACTAATCAAGATCTCCAAACCACCCATGGAAGAAAACACAAACAACTGCGTGATCAATCTGTCAAAACAACCACTAACAAATACGGAAGAACACCTGCTCCAAAAAGGATTAAACTACAATACAAGCGACGCCTCAAAGCTACAGTTCTTCGCAGCACTAGAGTCATCACTCAAAACTTCCGGAATCAGTGAAGAAACACAACAGGAAATAAGGCAAACTATAGTACCGATAACTCAACAGGTGAAAGAAAACAACCAACTGACTCCACAAGAACAAAAGGCCTTGAAAGAACTCAGAAATAGAAAGGATATTGTCATAATACCAGCGGACAAAGGACGCACCACAGTAATCATGGACAAAGAAGAATACGTCAACAAAGCCGAAGAACTACTCAAAGAATGGAGCACGTACAAACGGATGGATCCAGATCCCGTCAAGGAAGCCGGTGACCAAATCTAATTGGCTTCATACAAGCTTGTTCCCGCAGGATACATAGCCAAACAAGACCAATGGAGAATGAAATCCAGTGGACCAGTACTCCCTCGATTCTACGGCAGGCCCAAAATACACAAACCGAACATTCCACTACGGCCAGTAGTAGGACTCCCTGGAACGCCAACGTACAATTTATCAAAAGAAATTTCACGAATACTGAGACATCTAGTAGATTCAGCCAAACACTCCATCAAATCCCCAACACAATTCTTGGACCAAATTAGGGACATTCAAATCAACGAGGACGAACTCATGATATAGTTCGACGTGATATCACTGTTCACAATTAGATGAGAGGCGAGCAATCTAAAGAATGATATTCTTCAAAAAATATCCTTTTTGCCATTAATCTAAATATTGCGATAGAGTTTTCTGGAGCTTATCGATTTATAACTTACGACATAATATCAATTGAACAACTATATTTACAAACATACAAAAGGGACACCAATGGGTTCACCGAAAGAAAAATTGATCGCAGAATCAGTGATTCAATCAATACATATCTTGATATAACTAAATTGATAAAAACAAAAATCTGGATTCGATACGTAGACGACACCTTCGTCATCGTCAAAAATGATTAACTGGAAAACACATAGAAATTGATGAACAACGTATTCAATGACACGAAGTTCACAATGGAACATGAGTCAAACAACCATCTAGCTTTATTGGATATAATGATCACTAGAGTTGATATTCTAAAACTGGAAACTCATGTATATAGGATGCCAACCTTTACAGATTAACTACTCAACTACAATTTCAATGACTAAGGCATACTCATAGTCAAATGCGTATGCATTTTTTTCAATAGGGCGAGAACACACTGCAGCACTTTGGCTGAATGATAAAGTGGAGAGAAGGTCGTGAAATATATATTCCAAAAGTACGGATACCCAATCAATTTTAGTAAAAAGCATTAACTGTGCACTGAATTTAAATTCAAGTGAAGCAAAGAAAGCAGTAAAATGATTAATATAACGTAATTACAAAGAAGATCAGAAATTGCAACGAGACTGCTGAAAACCTTCGGGATAGGTGTTGCACACAAACCAACAAAATCACTACAATCAATCTTATGCAAACCAAAAGATGAAATAACAAAGGAGAACAAATCAAACATTATTTCCAAAATAAATAGTACCAACTGCGACGTATACCAGATCGTATAAAGCGGACGCCCCCTCCACCTACGACTACATGTACATCAATTAGCAGTAAAATGTAATGGTCACTCTTGACTTATTTGAATACAGTTGTATTTTTTCGGACTGTCATTCGATTGGGAAAATGAAGAAATGTTAAACAGAGGAAACTGTTAATACTCCAGAGAATTTCTAGAAGCCTGGAACTGACGTCAATCAGCAATCAACAATTATATTTAAATCAATCCATATGATCGATGAATCAGGAAAATCATGCATATATATAAGAACAAAAATCAAAACAATGGGAGAGCCAACCAAAACAGAAACGTGAACAATCATAAATTAAAGGTCATCAAGAACCAATCAACATCGAGGTGCACAGAATAATATTTGAAACACATATGGAGAAAATCGAACACTTCACTTCTATCTGAAGTTTATGCTGATTTTGTCGTTCAGTAGCTTGCTGAAATCTCCATGACCAAACTTTTCTGCTCGGAGGACGAAATTTAATTTGATGATAGACGCAGTAGTGGTTATATCTAACATAAAAATAATGTACAAGGGTAAAATATGGTGGTATATTTTTAGAATGTTTATGGATATTGGTTAGAGATAAATAGACCTCTAAACAAATGTATTAGTGAAGTATAAGGATTAGAGACATTATTTGCAGGTAGGTATTAAGTGGTGTTCAGCTTTTTGAAAGAGAAAATTCATTAAAACTGGACATGTTTAAGAGCTGGATAAGGTGTACTGACCAAATCTGCTGTCATGGAATCCGAACTTCTATTACGTCCTATAATGAATACATGCTTACTAGCGCTATAAACTAGTCATTATACTTAGGTTTAATTGTCAAGTTTCAGGTAATACGAGTAGATCAGAAATTGTGGGTATGAAACTATATCAAATGAAGTAGACAATGTGTTATTACTACACAACCTTATCCCTGAGATTAATTTGGTATTATGACTCAAGATACTTAAGCTATTGATAAGTAGTATGATTCTTATCACGAATATGATGAACATCAAAATAAAATGTGTACGTTTTCCTAAATAAATAAAAACGAATATTAGAAACACATTGACACTAACTTACCTGAATGGGTTGTGGATGATGAGAACTTTGGTAAACACATCCATTGCCCTTCTATTAAAGATGTTAAACCAAGAAGATCTAACGAATTACTATATGGTAGACTTAAATAACTTGGTGATACACCATTAATTTTATTCGATAATCCAATACGTAAGGCAGCCCAATGTGAATTTTTGTTATCTTGAATGAATTCAATTTGATTAGTTGACTTAGAAAATGGCAGGGAATGTATACTAAAACCAAATGGAGTATGATGAATTGGGTTGTATGAGTTTAAATTATTTACAGGAAAATCTTGTTCAATTATAAAATCTCGTATAAAATGGGTAGAAAACAAATCTGATCGATGAAGTGATGCTTTCAATTGGTAGAAATCATCTGGAAAACAAACAACCAAGCATATGAACAATTAGGAATTTATGAATATATCAAATTATTACAGTCAACTTGACAAGATTTCTATGTACAACTTCAAACACTGAGGAGTAAGAATATTATGAAAACTTAACACTAATAACTTGGAAAATGACAGTTAAACCGGAGTAGATAATCTAAATTACCTGATTAGGAATGAATTGAAAGAAACGTATTGTAATGATGCAACAAACATAGATTCTTGATCGTTAAATAAATAGTACAGTGGCCCGCTTGAATATCTGAGCTACCTGTTCCTCCCATCTAAACATTTCAATAAGTGGAAGATAAGTTACCTGTTTTTGTTTGTTTTAACACATCATTGTGTCTATTAAACGCATAACTTATTCAAGTGCGTTTATGAAAAGTTTACGACCCTTCGCCACACAAGTTACAAAAAGTACAATCAGAGACATTGTGATGGCTGGCAATATGTATTGAAAAGAATGAACATTAATCAGATGTCAATTCCTAAACTGCTGAATTCTAGCTGCCGATCACTAATTGGGTAAGATAGACTATTTTCAATTCCTACTAAGTCAAAACATGTATCGTAATTGTGGTATAATCACGATTCAAGAATCCTGCTTAAATGATCTACAAGATGATTGCTTAGTATTACTAAAAAATTTCAATGTCTATCATCAGGATCGATCAAGCAATAAGAAAAAGTATGGCACTGGTATAGCTACATTTGTAAAGGTAAAGTGGTGTCGATCTACTCTTGTATGTTTTAAGCTTTCAAACGACTTTATCGACTGTTTAACTTAAAGGTGCCGTACAAAGCACTTGAATCAATACAATCATATTTATGTTACCAACATCTACGCGAGTGCGGACTGCACATCATTTGCACTATCTGTTTTCGCTGACGAATCATTGAATTTGATTTTACTGCCTTCAGTTGTATGTGGTGATTTTAATTCACGTAACTGTAGCTTTCTTTCATCACTAGGTCACCAAAATATAGTAGATCTTTCCACTCGTTTGGACTTAGTTTTTATTAATGATGTGGGGACATATGTGACTCATAAACGTGCTTCATTGTCTAGTTCCAATCATTTTATGATTCGTGTTCTACCTAAAGTATGTGGTAAGCTTGGAAAGGGTACACTTTTACACCAGACGAAGAAAGTCGAATAAGGAAATTACGTAGAAGAAAATATCTGAAATCTGAATAACATGTTTTTTATGACAAACTGGCGATTATTTACAGATGACTCAATGGAAAACACCTTTGGTGTTATTACTTGTTATCCTAAATTCTTTTTTGATATATATTGTCGCACTTAAACCATTTTTGTACGTTTTGATCGACTTGCATCTGCAGGACTAAAACGAGGGTAAAGGAAAGAATTTACAGGGAGAATTCCACTGAAGCTCGAAAGCTAAATGGTCTAATAAACCTAGAGATCAGATGTCTGAAATTAATGTTTACTCAGAAAATCCTATCTTGCAAAAATTCTTCAAGTATGTGCAAACTATTTAAAGAGTTTACAAGGATAAATTGAAGGACAACAAGGAGCGATCAACATCGAGCTGCACAGAACAAGCTGTGAAACACATATGGAGAAAATCGAACACTTCACTTCTATCTGAAGTTTGTGCTGATGATGTCGTTCAGAAGAACGATGAAAGCTCCACGACCAAACCATCCAGCTGAGAGATCTGAACTCCATCATAATCATCGACCTGAGCAAATGTTTAGGACCTGACAAAATCCTAAACCTCCTTTTTGAAAAGTGAGCCAACAGTTTATGTCATTCATTCACGAACATCTTTGACAAATCCCTCTCAACCAATCTCATGACGAAAATGTGGAGACAGATAAAGATAATCCCTATACCTAAGAAAGTATCTGGCGTTAAGAATGTAAAATTTAGATCCATAGCAATAACTTCAGCTTTTCTCAAGACAATAGAAAAATTACTGGTACTCCCACTTCAGTCTGCACTAAAACAGCACACTGATCTATATCGGCTTGCTTGCAAATACAAAAGAAGCACCTTAGATGCTGCTGTTGTTCTGCATCATAATACGTTCAGTTTGGAAATGGTTAAGTAGTATGTTAGATGCGTTTTCTGGACAATGCTTCTGTCACTGACTCTATTCCAAGACAACTACTACTTAACAAGCTAATCAGCGTCAATACAGACTGTTGGATAACCACTGGATATGTTCCTACCTCTTTGGAAGAGAAGGGTACACTGTTCAACGTAGTAGGTCAGTAGATCTCTACTGACTCATGGTACGCCACAAGGAGTTGATCTTTTCCCTCTTCTTTACTCTTTTTTATGCATGACCTACCATCTTCCGCAGAAAACACTTTCGTTCAATATGTGCACAATCTTATCGTACGTATGTCGATTTCTACCTTTTCATATCCCTTTTTAAATGAATAGCATTTTGTCTCTTATTGAACGGGGTTCTGTTGTTAATGGTCTTATACTCAATCCGTTTAAATGTCAAACTGTTAACTTTAGCCTGAGACATGAACAGCACCTAAACATCCTGTTGGAATCCCATAATGCTTGTACCATTGGAGAATCTTTGATAGACACTGTGTCGAAGGTCAATTATCTTGGTGTAACTCTTTCCTATGAGCTCTTTTGGTCTTTTCATGAGTTATTGTTATTGAAGAACGTTTTCCGTTTGACTTGCTAAATAAACAGGCTCGACATTTACTATTTGTCAATTATTGCATATTACCTATTATTCTTTCCGGGCTTTTGAGAAAAGATTGCTGTATTTCGGAGAGTGTTGAAGGCAGTTCGTAGGGTGTGTGATGAACCTTTTGTGGTCATTATTAATATAGTTCAGGGTAAACATCTAAAGTTATGCAAACTCCTAGCAGGTGTTATCAGATACTAACCATCCACTTCATTCATATCTTTCTCCTTGTATAACTTCTGGTAGGACGAGACGTCAATATATTAGAATAAATAGATGCAAACAAAGGTATAAAAGCTCTACAATACCTCATCTAGCAAATATACTTTGTAACAAACAGGTTGCTAGCATTGACCTAATCAATAAATTGTATTCTTAAACATGTTTCTAATTAAAAAGTTGTATAGACTAAAATCTTAAAAAAACATTTCATTTAATTCCAGGTAGTTTATCTACTAAACTTATGTATGTATGTAGTTATCAGTTTCTTTCATAGTTCTTGTCAAAGAAACTTTTTGACATACCTTGTGCTGAGAATTTTACATAGCATCAAAAATATAATATTGAATAAGACCACTAATAATAAAAATCAAAAATCAAAAAAACAAATTATAATGACGTGATGATATACAATTAAATTAAAGATCCATACTGCATGAAGTTGTTCTGAATTAGGATTTTAAGATTTGATGAACGATTGTTAAAACGAAAGGAAAGAATGCTGATCGATAGATGAGATGGTATGATACGAATGTTAGGTGCCCACCAGGGAATTATTGACATAAGCATCTGAATGATTTAACATCAGAGACAAGAGCCACTGTTGGGAAGAGTAGGTTTTTCACATAATAAAACGATATGGTGATATATAACATTTCAACATAGTAATGGTTTAGTGTCTAGAATTATGCTGGAGTAGTAACTGAGTTCTACACTGCTTCTCCAGAGGGAGATTTTATAGAGCGGACTACCGAAAGATAGTGTGTGGTAGTGAGTCACTTAGATTGCCCCAAACGCTCTGGTACGGCCGAGAGTCCGCTCTCCCTCTCGAAATGCTCCCCACATGGCCACGCGTATACAGCCACTACCAGGGAAGTCCTACTCATTGCCTTCTCGTAGAGGGGTCTTGTTTACGGAATTGAGAGGATGTAAAGCGAATGTCCGACGCTTTAACCGGGTTGGTGAACATGGAGAGTCCACCTAAGGGAGTTGGAAAACCCTGATTCCAAACCTATGATGCACATGAGCTCCACTATACTGAAGGAACAAATGGCGTATGAACCAATTGTTGGTCACTGACTTCCTTGGGACTGCATCTCCTTACGATGCTCCATTGCTTTGTGGATCAGATCTTCAGGTCGAAGGCTCTGGGTGTGGCCCCCTAAGAAAACCACCTGCTTCGGTTTGGGCGCCCAGGCAGTATCACAGCCCTCACACATATCAAGTGAGATTTGTGTGACGCATATCTATTTGGTGCCTCCTTGTACCAATATCTATGTGTTAAAATAAATAAAATCACTTAGATTAATGTCAATATTGCAACTTGATCCCTAGAATATGAGAAGCAATTAAGGATAATATCAACATGACATAAGTAACTACTCAGAGGTCGACTAATGCTCACCTAACCCGATAAATCAACTAGCATAAAAGGCTGAAAATGCTACCCTCTCTTGTAGTCTACTTATGTACTAAGTCATTTATAAGGAACTAACTTATTTTGTTCCCAGCACTGAACCTTAGAATCAATACAATTAAATGTTAATTTGTCTAACTGGTTGTCGACAGTCCAAACACATACATTAATACCATCATTAAAAACATAGAATAAAGAAAAACAACTATTGACTGATAACTAAAATTCATTAAATTAATTTTCCTATTCAACAGAAAACAAAAAATAGATCCTAAGATATTTAACACAAAATTACACCATAAAATAGAACCTACTTGAAACTGCATCAAATACACGCCCTAACTCATCATGATACGAGATTTTAATGTTATATGGACCGCCAACAGGAAGACCAACTATTTTTGACAATCTTTCATTCTGTGGAATAGTAATAGGAGGTACAGAGAATATCATAAAACGTGGGACTTTAATCAATACATCCAAAATTAATGTCTGAATAACTGAACTGTGAAAATTATGTGTATACTTTGAATTCACTAAATTTCCATTAGGCATTGATTGAATTTGAAGTGTAACTCGACAAATTGATCCAATCTCCGAACATTTATCACTCGCACGTAGAATACCATCTGGAGTCACAGTTAACAACTGACTAGCATGTTCTAAAGATAGATTCCTATTATGTGGAACGGTTAAAATCTTGTATTGTAAAATGCTATCAGAATGTCTAGGAAGAAAAATAGTGAAATAAAAATAACTGTTAATTAAGTAATGCAGTTTAAAAAGAACAGATAAGCAGTACTTATAACGCGTCAAATTGATAAATGTGTATTACGCTTGCTACTGTCGGTAACTGTTAAAATAGTTAATAACTCAATAAAATCAGGTACAAGTTTATATATTCAGCTTCTAATAGGCTTGATGTTACCCGGTTGTCCAGAACGACGTAGGTCAAGTGGCGTGATAATAAGGGATTAGGTATAGAGGAGATCATAACTTTATATGCGTTACCATCAAAATGAGGTTTCGGTGGGGTACGCACGTTCCACACATTATTCCGTTGATTTCTGCAAAGTGTATTACATATTGACTAAATGAGAAAAGTAACTAGAAGAGTTTGTGAAATGATGGAATAGAAAGATGGATAATTGAAGTCCAGATCCACTATATTTGGTCTACAAGAGTATGCAACCTGATGGTTTACTTTTTGATCAGACATAGTTCAGAATAAAAACAAGTGGTGACTGTAAGGCGGTTTTAATCGTATTTTACATAAATATTAGGATACACCTTTGGACTGAATAAATATTCTGAATTGCGTGAACTATATTCTCTAATATTTATTATCTATGATATTATCATGAATTTTTCTCTTCTTTTCTCTCAACATATTACTGATTCATTTTGAATAAAGGATATCATGGTGCTCTACTGTACCAAAGGGTCTATGCAGTTTATAGAGAACAGAAAGCACTAACTTATTTTATATATAAGCTATATTAAGGATGCAAATAATTTTTAAAATTAAAAAGATCATTTGTGTGTAATAGGCTTTGTGACATCAAAAGACTTGAGATGAAGATAATGCAAACGTCATAATTTGTTCGATAAAAAATTGAGCAAGTTTGCAAGACATTAAAAATAAGTGTTAAACTTGAAGGCAAATGACTGGTGAGATTATATCTATCATTGTTAAAGGAAGAATCGTCAACATAGTCATTGAAACAATCTTTAGATATGATAATTGACCACTATTAATTTTTGCTAGTATTGTTTTCAGTTAACTCTTAAATTTCTGAGCTGTGGAAGTAGTTCATGTAATGGAACGTGGATTTAGTCAGAGTTATTGAGATGTTATATATTTTTGCTTAGGAAATAATAAAGGGAAACAAATATTTCTTCACAAAAAGACTTACAAATCAGTCCAAGGAATCAAATTTAATTGGGAATTCGGCGATAGAATTATTTGTTGAGGTTCCCGATGTGGTGAACTCAGTCCAAGCCGTGATAAAACAACAATTGTTAGTTGAGCATGTAAGCGGTCAGTCGATACACCGTCAGTAGATACAGCAATTATTTGTTTTGCATAAGGTTCTACAGGTTCAACAGTCAAATGAACAGTTACAGTACCAGGTTTCAGACCGACAAGAACCATTCCAGATGCTAAATGAGTCTAAGTGTTGAAAAAGAAAGGATTTTAGATAATAAATTTGACAATAACAAAAAGACCTATTAGAAAAGGTGGAAAATGTATATGGTTATAGATCAGTGACTTTATTACTATGAACTAAAGTGTCAGAATACATTAAAACTAAATGTGTACTTGAGATTGTGCATTTAGAACTAGTCATTTAGGTAGAGATAAAGTACTAGGTAAACGTGGTAAATCGATTAATGTGGTCTTCATCAAATGAGGTGGTCGGGACGTATACCCAACCATCGCCTACCTCAACGGAAGATGTTTTCCGGCTCAGGAGTAAAGCTAGGGGCGATCAAACCAAAACATGACATCAGCCCATGAAGTCAGTGACAATTGGACTTAGCCATGTTAATGGGTACAGACTACCTGGTTGGGGTCCGCGTGATTATCGTAAGCAATGGTTAGAAACTTTGGATGACATGGCTAAAATCGTTTAGAATAGGGCAGGTGCATTCATTGTTCGTCTTCTTTCAAATTCTGAGGTTCTAAATCCTTCGTTCAGTTTTTCATTATTTCACTAATTTGTGTTATCTTCTGGAGTCGTATCTTCGATGGCTAATCTTCCTATTACCACTGATATTGTTACCCCTTCTATTTTGAGATTTGGCCTGATAACTTTATCTCTCTGTGCTAATGGGGAATGGTAACTTGAACCGATGTACATACGTACAGATTCTACATTGTGACTGAATGACTAAGTGACTATTCAGGTTCATAGTAGACAAACATTTTTTGAGAACAAATTTATACTGTGCAGGTTAAAACTGTTACTCAAATAGCTATCATGCAACAGTAATACTTGAACTTTAGTTTAGTAGTGTAAACAATAGACATCTAATCACGAGGTTACAGTTTTCTTGCATATTCCCACCTGAAAAGTTTTATACATATAGTGTTGGCATTCACTCTCACACAATAAATTCTATTAACAGTGTACTCCATATTATGGATTTAAATATGCATATGATTTCTCCAAGTCATTTCGTTGATCCCAATGGTGTAAAATATTGACTTGCGTAAGGAGTTCGTTCTTAGGTTTGATACAAATTCTTTTCAAATTTTGACAATGCAGTTTTTTAAATTCTGTCCTAAACAATTGATATTGTTTCTGTGTCAGTTGTTGTATTTTTGGAGAAAGTTCAATTTCATATAAATTCGATACAAATCATGGACACAACCATATATAAATCAGTATTACGTATCTCAGTAGCATTGTTATATTATAAGCAATGATGGATGGTGACTAACAGTGGAATCCAGGACGCGAGTTTCGGTCTACTTAGGACTCGTCATCTGGATGTACCTGCATCCTAGAGTTGATGTTCACCCCAGAACTCGAACCCAGCACCGTTCGCTTCAAATGCCATCGCGTTATCCACTTAGTTACTGAGTTCTGATAACCATTTGCTTGTGCAATGGGGTGAAGTTTAAATTCACTTGGTATTGTTGAATCTTCCTATTGATGTTTAGGAGTGCAATTGATCAGTACAAATGGCCCTAAACATCAATGGGAAGATTCAAGTAAACAATACCAGGCGAATTGTTATATTAGCTTAGAGAAAGTACTAATTGACAAAAACTGTCGTCGAAACAGTATGTCCATACTTTCCACTATTAATTTTGTTTTCTGTTTAAAAACAAATGGGTCTTTATAATAAGATGTAAATGAAAACTGTTGTATCCGAAGGAGATTAAATTATGGGTAACTTGCGGGAACTATTTATGAACTGTTATTATATATTCTTATCGTATAACAGTTAAGTAACTAAATTATATATATTTATACTTCATTTATCATAAGCTTTCAATTTGCTTATTGGCTATTATTATGAAATTTACTGTCCTCAAGTTATACCCAATTTATGAGTTACAGTCTCACACTCACAGCCGCTTTTTAGCTTGATCCTGTATAATTTTTATTTTAATTTTATGGTGTGATGCCTTTATATAAACTGTGAAATACATGGTTCATACAGTGGAAGCTGAGATTTGTATTCTGGACTCAAACAGGCATATTTAGGCGAGAAACACCAATAACGATTTAGAGTTGACACAAAGCTACTAGTGCTGTCTTGACGAGTCATTGGTTTAGCACAAGAACAAGGTCATATAAGTCGGTATGCGCACTGGCGATTTTGTCACGTAATAATTAACAGGGCAAAATTTATAACAAAAACACTATAGTTTTACTGAAATTAACAGGTGTTTCTTCCAGGGTTTCAGGATCCTGAAGGAATAAATAGTGTATGAACCCATCGCTGGTCAATGTCTACCATGGGACTGCATCTCTTGACGTTGCTCCACTGTCTTGTGGATCAGAACTTTAGGTCAAAGACTCCTGGTGTGGCCCCCCTAAGAAAACCAACCAATCATAGCCCACACACAAATCAAGTGACTTGTGTGACGCACATGCATTCGGTGCCCCTCTGTACCAATATTTGTATGTTCAAATAAATAAATAATAATAACATAGCGACTTCACTCTTATGCGTTTTTCAATAATGGAAAAAAGTTCATACCATTAATGACTAATATGCATAGCAATTGCTTTTTTTATTATTAAACATTCACTTTATCAAATATAACATATTTCGTAAGATATGCAAAGAATCGGAATCTATCAACGGTAATTCGTATCAATTAATAAAATGAGAAACTATAAAAATTTATGGCTTGTTAAGGCATCCATCATCGAAATTCATACTAAGATGACGTAATTACATGTATTTTTTGCATTAAAAGAATAACAGTATATCAATTATAATGCTTATATAATGCTTACTTCATCCACATTAACACCGAATCGATCAAGCCAATACTCTAAACGAACAATAGAGTTAGGTTCAGGTGGATTCAAATGCCAACGATAGCGTAATGGAGGATTGACGGCAGCCATTCCCAAAGGAGAAACAATATTCGATCTTGACTGGTCGTTAGAATAATAAGGACTGTATGGTGTACCTTCAACCCATAACGGTGTTGAACCACAATCGCCAGAGCGTCCAGGAGGGCATGCAAGGAGAAAATGTTGATCAGACCTATCTGAATTAGTTAATTCTGGGAAATGAGCATTGGAAGAATCAGAGATTTGAGAAGTAATTTCATCCAAGTTAGCAAGTGGGCATCTAATTCGCACACCAGACAACGCCACAATATGAATGTTGCAAACTGTCTGGAAAAGAAATTTTTATGTTGTTCAATTAGAGACTTAGTAATTTATAACTTTATGAATAATTTTACAAATTCAAAGTATAACATACCTCTGAATAGATGACATAATCCTCATGCTTTTCATCTAAACTTGAAGAAGGTCTATTCCCTGTCATACCTACTGCACGAGCACGAATATTCGCCAAACCTAAGGATTCAGATGCACGTATTAAGACACTGGAAGGGTTTGTCTTAACAATTGTTATACGACTTGAGATAGACTCAGGAATAAATTCCAATGAAGCTTGACTAGGACCACCCACTGCATGAAGTTCGTATTCCGCTCCTAGAAGAAGATTGAAGTTACATGGAGTCAAACGTAATGGTGCAAACACCTAAGATGAAAAAAGAAACAGAGAACATAACGAATGTTTGGTTTTTAAAGCGAACTTCAAAAAAGTATGACATTCTTTTGAGCTTACCTGAATCTCAACAACGTTACTTTGAACAGTAATCGGTTTACTTTGCAATAAACCGGGTACTATCGAAGTTACCATTAGTCTAGAAGTACCAAGAGCAATACCTCGAACTGTAAATTGACCAGAACAAGGTTCTTCAGCATTTGATGAATTACAAGTCCAAAATGAATCTGAAGGAACATTTGTTTCCGGTACGCTAAGTATTCTTTTTGAGTCATGTGATGACTCTTTATGACCAGTAGATGTGGAATGAGTGACATGGTCACTGATGATTGACAACTTCAATAAACGTGCAAACTTTGATGGTAATGTGATTCCATCTGTACCTATGGCCTCTATAAAAGCAGTAACCTAGATTAGGAAAACAATGATAAGACATTGATCATTTGTTAAAAAATTAATTTTTAAGACATAATTTAATTGTTGATCACTTTTCGAGTTAATATCGGTTTATTCATTAAAAATAATTAATATAATGATGAAATTGTATGTAACCGAATGAATCTGCTTTGTGAAGGCTAGTTGCACAGACCGAATCGAGTTCAGTAGTGTTGGAGATGGCGAATCACCACAATAAATTGTAAGAATCATCTGTTTTGTAATTTATATTAAATAAATGTTTCATTTTTTGCCTAGGTAATCTTCATTATTGTTGGTGAAATAAATCTAAACCAAGGTTGGATTTTATAGCTGATTAGAGAACAGGGAGAAAGAGTATAGGAAGACGTCTTATTCATTGTTATTGAGGTCGAAGTTAAGAATCATAGGTTATCGCATATATGTATCAAATAGATTTAAATACATAGTTGAATAGTGTAAGATGATTATACAAGCAATTTAATTGAACGTTTTTATTATCCATTATTCAGGAATATCATAGATTTTATAGATTATATCATGTTTATTTATTTTATTTTATTTGGAAACATAAATATTGGTACAAAAGGACACCGAATGCATATGCGCCACACAAGTCACTTGAGTTGTGTGGACTATGATACTGTGCGGATGCCCAGGCCGAAACAGGGGGTTCCTTAGAGGACCACATCCGGAGGCAGTGGAGCAGTGTCAGTCCTATGGTAGCCAGTGACCAACAATTGGTTCATATACCGTTTGTTTCTTCAGGATCATGGAGCTCATGTACACCATTGGTTTGGAATCATTGTCTTCAAACTCCCCTAGGTGGACCCTAACTCCACTAACCCTGTTAAAACTCCGGACATTCGCTTTGCGTCCTCTCAATTTCGTAAACAACACCTCTCCGCGAGAAGGCAGTGAGTAGGACTTCCCTGGCAGTAGCTGTATACGCGTGGTTATGTGAGATCATCTTGAGAGGGAGAGCGAACTCTCACCACCCTCGGTCGTATCAGGGTATTTGGGGGGGGGTTATATCAGATAAGGTATTGAAATAAGTTAATAAAAGTCTATCAATCTATTAAATAGTAGAGTAATATAAACAATTTTAGGATGTAAAATATAAAACTGTAATTTATGAAATTTAGCCGAACAATCTACATTCAAAACTAGAACTGATACTTACATTTGTGTTAAATTCTATTCTAATATGATATGCATAATTAATGTAGACTAGATTGAAGAAAATAACAATACATTTATGTAAATTCTTGTTTATATAATTTCTGTCATTTATTTATTTAAAACATTCTGAAACTTTAAACATAATATAACACTTATACAGATATGTTTGTTTTTAACTAATATTTCATATACTTGATAACCTAATATAATTAGTCCTATGAAATAATTGACAGCAACAACAATAACGATAACAAAAATTGACTAGAATAAAAAGTCAGTCACAATTTAGAAATAGTTATTTCTTTTAGTATTTCAATGAATAATGGATAATTTAGAAAATATTATTAAATTTAGTTTATTATTTATTTAAACACATAAACATTGGTACAAGAAGGCACCAAAGAGATATGCGCTACATAAATCAATCGACTTGTGTAAGGGCTGGGATACTACCCGGGGTGCCTAAACCGAAGCAGGTTTACACATTTTAATTAAATTTTATAAAATTACTAATAAATACTAAACAAACAAAACACAGAATTAGACCAACCTCATCACCAAGTTGTATTTGATTATGAACTCGAAGATTTAATACACTAAGACCAATTACATCTACATTAAATTCAGCTTGTGATGGATTAAGATTATATTCATTTGGTGGGTTTAATTTTGTTGATGGAAAGCATAAGTCAATTGCTTGAATTGTTACACGACCAACATGTTTTGGTTGTAGTTCGTAAGTCCGTCTCGGCATGATATACAGTATAGTATTGGTTGATATAAATGGTTTATTTAATTTCTCAGATAAACGAATTGGATAGTGATGTCGATCTGTTAGATTGTCTGAATTGTCCAGGTAGTAATAACCAGATCCACCATGAATATCCACAGTAGATGAAGCCTGCAAAGAAAAAAAACAATATTCATATACATGCAAATATGAAATGAAAGTATTGAATCGCATAGCTGAAAAATTCACATAATTTAGTAAACTAAATTACAAATAAGTTGAAAACGTGTTAATAATTTACTTTATCGGAAGAGGAATCACAAAGAAAAAAATAATTGGAAATTACCTCTGGATGATAAAATAACTTAATTAATTGACTAGGAACCGCGTTTATCACTGGACTCAAATATATATTTAAAATAGACTTTAGGCTCTGAATACCATGTAAAAATGGAATATATCTGTTAGGTAAACTTGGATGAACTGTAACATGAACCGCAAGACTACCAGAAGAATGACCAAAGTTAGCTGGTGTAATTAAAAAATAAGGCCGCGAATGCATAGGACGATTGGAAGATCTTTTATCGCTGAAAAAAGAGCAAGATAGAAAAATAATCAAAATAAGCTTCATTTATCAGTGAAACGAAACGTTTTGATTTAAACATTGTTTGGAACATTTTCCGTAGGGGGTGCATAAAATAAAGTGATATAATTTAGTAAAAATGGGTAAACATAAATGAATTCATTAGAATGGCTAAGATCCTATGACGTTTGTTTTTTAAAGCTCCCGGTAACCAGCCCTAGAAGTTAGACTGTTTAATAGAGCTACTTATCTGCTAAAACTGTGATATATATATGGCAGTAAAATCTGACTTAAGGCCTCGTGGAGCTGCTGGATCGTGGGGCAACCCTACTAGACGACTTAGGAGGTCGCAGAGGTCGGGCCGACCACCCACTCTGTTGTATCTGATCAACCTGGGTTCTAAACTCGGGGTTTAGTTTACCGCTTGAGCTAACCGATGTGTGTGCTTATGTATGAGCATTGCAAAAGTTATCGGACCTATGTAGTTCAAGTATATAGGTACATGTAAAGGGTACGCATGCGGTGTCGTACAGAGGAAACGTCGAGCTGCGAAAATGTCTGCCCTACGTCTAATAAAATCAGCGGCCTATCCATCAGGTCGAAGACACAATAAAAAGGGGTGGTAAGAAATACTACGGCGGGACGACCAACAACCTCCCCTGAGAGAGTGCTAATGTTTATGTATGTATCAGAAAATAATGGGGCGGTAGTCATGGTGTGATTGATATTTATATGTGTACGAGTTAGTCTGGGATAGCAAATACGTTTTCTTTGATTCGGTGAATATCTATCCTCCCAGGTGGGTGAATATACCTATATGTATGCTATGGGATGCATGGGGTAAAACCTGTTACTGGTGTGCATGTGACGTATATTTGCTCACAGGGTATATGTATGTGCATGTATGTCAAGTGGTACTCGTATCAAAGTTCGTGTGTTAATCAGTATGCAGGTAGACTATACATATCCAGGGCAAGTAAATTCGCAAACTTCTTTACTCGTTCTTTTGGTGCGATACCATTATGCATGCAAAGACCTGTGGGGCTGCGATCCCCACTAAATCGCATTCACGCGGTAGGTTTGTGAGCCTCGAAAAAATGGAGTCCGTTCTAGAAGGACCACTAGGTCTCTCCAATAGGCTTCACCAGTTGTTCTGGCTGCAACTATATATATATATATATATATATATATATATATATATATATATATATATATATATATATATACGGAGGTAAGAAGAAAAGATATTAATAAGATTTATTATATCCTGGTTCTTGCATTTGTATCCAGGAGAATTATGATCAGAAAGAATTTTGATAGAGCTTACTAATCTGGGTAATCCATCTGTACAGGAGGATTCGCATATTGAACTAATTGTAATTTCTCTGTAGTTCCCCCATCATCATCAATTGAAGAAATAACCACATTAGATATAAGTGAATCAACTGATTCTAATTCTTGACTTTCTGATCCAAAGAAAATTAAGTGAATAACAGTTGGGATTGTATTCGGTAAAATTAACTGAAATGATTGACGAAAATAAGAGAAGGAAATCAACCATAAGGCATGGATACGATATAAATTATCAAGTGATGATTGTTTTTTAATTTAGCTGTTTAACTGTTAAATGGCAAGTAAAACACATACAACATATGTATTAATTGATCATTGAAAATTAACCGATTCCATGTTAGTTTATTCCTTAACATTGATCAAATTCTATTTACCAACTTGAATGGTGGTCACTTGACATCACAAGAGAGGTATATCTGATATGTTTCGATATAATCAACAAGGAGTTCTGAGTCCTACATTTTATGTTAGTTGACACGCATCAGTAAAGCGTACAAATCTAATCTTGAAAGTAATTGAAAGTCACATTGATAGAAATGCTAAATGACTGGTTCATACAGTAGAGTAGATTAATTACAAACAAAAAAAGTTTCTAATTCTGTTACTCTATGTGTTAACATAAGCGACTTTCTACACAAGTTATTCCGATTTGTTATTTCAATCACTGAAAGTTTTGCATGATTAATTTTTCCATTGTAAATATAATCAGTCGATAAATATGTGATTTGAAAGCATGCCAAGAACAACTTTTAGAATTATCACTGAAATAATTAGATAGATAATCTACACTATAAACCAATCCATATTCGTCACAGTAATATCAATGAAATAAACGTTTGCACTCACAATAGTTACACATATTTTCCTTAAATGTTTCTAAAAGAACCTATTAAGAGATTCATTAACAATGCTATTACTACAATAAAAATTCGTTTTGGTCTATACACATCTGTTATACATATACTACAAGTGTAATAAAAAAACGAAATGTACGGATAGTTTACCTTATCATGAGACCAGTCATTGGAAGATATGTTAACCAATGGGCAAGGTGGAAAGTGTAGAGGTAATGAAGGAAACTGGAAGACAGGTAGTAACTGTAGACGGACTGCGACATCGCACATAATTCTGAGAAAATCAAATTTTTTTAAAGAAATTAGGAAATTTATTACAAGTGAAGTGAAATACGGTCATTAAAAATGGTTGTTAAAATCACACTGATCATTTATCTAATTTTTTTACTATAGAGCTATTGATGAATAGATATACTAAACTGAAGTAGCTGGATATATAATAAGTCAAGTATATATATATATATATATATATATATATATATATATATATATATATATATATATATACGATAGATATAATCGTCGACAGCCCATCGAATAAATCACATCTTGGAACCATATTTAATCAAATTAGAAAGAACAGTTATTTCAAATAAAATAATCAAAGTTGAAAGTTATTAAATGATCAGTGTAGTTGTACAACATATCTGCCCGTTATATCAATGAGCTTTTGCCAGATGTAAGGTTATTAATTTCTTTTTACGAACACATCTCGATTTTATTTGGTCGACAGGTGGATGACTAAGAAACTAATTGTAACATCAAGAAGTAACAAAAATGGCTAAGATAAATTCTTTGTCTTGGATTGAGACGGTCGATCAGGTAATTGGTATTTTTCTCTTGACAAAAAAGTAATATTGCTTCAGAACAAAAGGTTTTTTATTGAAATCCTAAATCAATTTGAGTTAGACCACCATTAAAAAACCTGAAAGCACTGGACGATTGTTACTTCCTAATATGGGACTCCTCAGTAGTGCATATCCACGACCCCGCAGGCCGGAACTGAACCCAAGATCTTCGGTCTCGTGCGTGAACACTTAAACTACAGACCCTAATAGGATGCTAACTCATATATACGTGATACTAGTTTAATTAACTAACAATTATAATGCGTATTGCTATTTCTCACATGACCAACAGCTGAGTGACTTTACCGAGAAGACAATTTACAACAACGCTTTAGATAATGGTAAATAACATGTAGTTTTACTCAGAGTTTATAAATCCATTAAATTCTTTTCCTCAAGAACTTATTCATTTTGAAAAGTTACTAAACAATTAGAATTGTTTTCAAGCGTTATCAGTTAATTGATGACTAGTACAAAATTTACTAAGGTATGAATTCCCCATAAGTTTGTTCAAAGCACAACTGGAATCGTGAACCAATTGTTAAAAGTTGGACTGTACAGGATTGATTATATTCTTATTTCATTTAAATGTAGCCAGAATACATAATAGAGAGACAGGGTATAGTTGGTTACTTTATAGCAAGAAATTAATTCAACCGGTTAAATACATTTTGAACTAAGAATAACTAGATTAAACAAAGGGCACAAAATACAAGCAAGTTATTTTTTGATTGGGAAATGATACTATATTTGAGTTCCATATATATAGTTGATTAGTTTAGTCGATTTTGGAATGATATTATTTCTATTACTAGGAAATGAAGGATAAGTTGGACAACTAAGGTATATGAAATCTTCAGCTGAAAATGTTTTGTCTAATACGTGAAAATAAATAAGAACAACTAGTCTTATTTGTTTTTTGGTTACAAGTAGTTTTTGTACATATATATACCTATCGAGAGATATATTGGCAATCCAGGATTATCATATGCTATTGCAAGATATTACATAAAGGTACCGCTAGTTGAATATCAGCATTTATTTTCTCCCTCGTATAATAAGTCATTAGTCATATCAAGATATTTGTTAAGTACAGAGTACTGTGGATTCACTTTGCACTGACTGATCTTATAACGGTGAAGATTGTGAATATTTTCGTTGTTCAGTTTTCTATTTGTGAAAGCGCTAGAGTGTGCTAGGGTGATTGTAGTTGAGTTTTCATTCTTGAGCACATGTGTGATTGTACATTTGTTAACAAATGAACAATCCGGTTAGATTACATTTATTCTAACCATACACTTTACTCCACTACTGTACCAAACACTTCATATATTCATTACACCCTATCACTATTTTGACTACATTTTTATCCAAAACACATAATGTATTAAATTGGTAGATCAGCCGGTAACTGTGATATGCCTGTTTCATCATATTCAAGAAGTAAATAATACAACAAATTATGATTGCTAGTAATATGTCTAATCTGTATACACACTAAAAAATAAATATCCTCTGGAAATTTTTTTCGAATAAATTCTGACAAATTTAACCAATTAAAATATGCTACTTATTATTGATAAATAGGGTAGTGACTGGCTCACTAGTGACTGGCTTCACGAGGTATATCCTGGAGTTCTAGTGAGAAGTAGTGACCAGTGGAGTTCAACCAGGTCTGTTGTGAGGTAGTAACTCACTGAAGACAATGGTGAATGTGTCGCTCAATTTCGTGGATTAGTTGAAGTTAGACATGAACACCGTTGGATGCCGGCTCAGTGGTCTAGTGGTTAAGTGCTCGGGCGCGAAACCAGTAGGTCCTGGGTTCGAATCTCGCAGGGGGCGAGGTCGTGGATGCGCACTGCTGAGGAGTCCCACAATAGGACGAAACGGCCGTCCAGTGCTTCCAGGTTTTCCATGGTGGTCTAGCTTCAACTGACTCATGATCTTAACCATTGAAATAGGGTAGGTGTTTATTAAAAAATATGTGCGGGAGATTTCATCGAGCGAAGCAAGTATGTAAATTTGTGAAGGTAAACTTTTACTACAATGAATTGTTTTTTGTTCTCCATTATTTCACAAATGCTTAACCCTACCTCAGTGAGCAGATGTGTGTTGACTAGAGAGATTTTCACTTAAATTAATGTCTAATCTACTATAAGAACATGATTTAATAATCCATATATGTATGACAGGCTATGAGAAAGGCTAATCGAACTAACTAATCACTCGATCCTCTGGAGATGGAGTAACATATGAACTTATGATTTCCTGATTTTAAATCGAGTGACTGAACCAATAGACCAAAGCTCAGCTGCATTATCAATGTTATAAGAAACGTAGATCGGTCAATTATCTTGTACATTGAAAAAAAGCTTACGTGAACTTGGATGACAGAACCATGGGATGTAGATTAGAGGGGGTGGGACGATTTCCAATTTCAATCACAAACTCAAACAACCCAATACTTTCACAACGAAGGCTAAATGAAACCAAGCGAACATGAGCTTCAACTTGATCCATATAACTTTGAATTGGTTTAGCTTCACTGTCAAAGTTAGTCTTTTGATAAACTGTTTTAGAGAAATGTGGTTCACTAATCAATGTTGGAAGTGATGAAATATCATTATCTGCGTCGGGTTGGGGAAAAACGTTGACGTAATGTTCTGATGGTTGTAAAGGCCATGGTTGTGGCCCATGTGTAACCTAGGTTCAATAACATTAATCATTATAGAATAATGAAATAATTACATCAAAATATGATGTAAATGAGTTAAACGTCAACAAATCACCACACCATACATCAATGGCCTTTCTTGTGTTCGATCATTACAGAATGCAGGAAATACAGGATAATGAAAATCTGATCATGTGTCGTGGCGTTGGTATGTTTTACCTATACAGTAGACAAAGATTGTGTAAATTGTACAATTCCAAGTGAGGAGAATCATTCCGCTCTGATTTCAAAGACGTGGATAAAAAAATTCCCCGGTCATACAATTTTCAAATAGAACTTCGTTAATTCTTCACAAGGTTAGTCGCCGTCAGTGAATCTAGTCTGTTCAACCTTTGACACATTAATCACGATGTGGCAGATAAAAGTGAACTCTAAAGAAAACATCCACTTTGAAATTACTTAGTGAAGTTCACCAGAAATTTTAAAAAGTACTCAACTAAAGCATTTGTTTCAGTGATAATTCTACTAGAAATTCTCGAAAACGTTCTATTCGGGTCATCTTACATGAATTATCTAGTTTTATGGAAGTTTTCCGTTAATTTTACAAAATAATTTGTGTATTTTATATAAAAAGGATAAAATATTAGATTTATAATCGTTATCATGTAATATTTAACATTCTATATATTTATTATTATACGGAATGCCCCAAATGCCCTGGTACGACCGAGGGTGGTGAGAGTCCGCTCTCCCTCTCCCAATACTCTCACATGGCAACGCGTATACAGCCACTGCCAGGGAAGTGCTTCTCACTGGATTCTCACGGAGGGGTGTTGTTTACGAAATTGAGAGGACGCTTTAACCGGGTCAATGGACACAGGGTCTACCTAGGGGAGTTGGAAAACCCTGATTCCAAACCAATGGTGTACGTGGGCTTCAGGATCCTGAAGGAATAAATAGTGTATGAACCAATTGTTGATCACCGGCCACCATGGGACTGCATCTTCTGACGTTGCTCCACTGTCTTGTGGGTCAGAACTTTAAGTCGAAGGCACCGAGTGTAACCTCCTAAGGAACCCCGTGTTCCGGTCTGGGTACCCGGACAGTATCATAGCCCACACACAAATCAAGTAATTTGTGTGGCGCATATGCATTCGGTGCCCCTTTGTACCAATATTTATGTGTTTAAATAAATAAATACTATACGGGATAGAATTTCATCAACTATTTTATACAAATCTACTCTTCAGGAAATATTGAAATTACTTAACATAGATAGACGTAAACTAATTAGAAACATCTTCACTAAATAAAGATATATTCGGTTAAATTTACATTAACATAATAGCATTTGTTTTTCTTTTCAAATAATTTGTTATTTCAAAAATACTTTTCTTCAACATTTACCTTCTTATCATAATTTTCAAAAAAAGCGAATTTATGAAGCCAAGACTATGGTCAACGCATAACTCGAACTTTGGAGGTGTACCTGAATATCTAGGCTACCTGTTCCTTACATCTAAATATTTCAATAAGTTATTTGTTTTTGTTTCGCTTAATACATCATTATGTCCATTAAAGAATGAACGTTAATTAGATGTCGATTCCTGAACTGCTAACATCTAACTGGTGATCACTTAATACTTATCGTCAAGATTGACCAAGAAGTAAGAAAAGGGAACTTGTTGAAATATTTTGTGCTGAGAATTGTATATTGTGACAAAAATATAATATTGAATAAAATCGCTAACAATAATAATAATAACACTGATTTAATAAATATTATCTGTGGTTGAAAAAGCTTTTTAATAAATCAAGAACAGTTTATATAAAACAAGAGTTAATTATTTAGCATTGCACGATTTTACCTGATAATGAACATTGATAAAATAGAGAAGAAAAATAATTACTACAATGATTAGATTACTAGGTAATTGAATACAATACTAGACTTTATACCATACTCATTTTGTATAGGAGTTAGTGACACTACCCATTGGTTTAAATTGAAGGAAATAGATTAGAGTTTAAATGTCTAATCAACAACTAGTTGAAAGTCAAATAAATCGCTTCTTATTGAACTAACACTACTAATCAAGCAATTTGTGATTGGCTGAATATATTCATTGAATTGAATACTAATTTTCTGTACTTACTAGCATATTTCGAGTTGAACCTATTGCAACAGGAGTTATTTCAGAAACAGGATCAATAAAATTGATTTTACGATATGCGGCAACATGAACACGTGAAACAATTACAACAGATTCATCAAATTTGTTAACTGGTGATGGATTGTAAATTGCTTTAATTTCAGTGAAACCAACGTTAACTCCGATCACATAGAAATGTAAGCATTCGTTAGAATCAAATAATCCATATTCAGCAGATGAATTAAGTCGTGGGGCATGAAAACCTGTACAATTTTAATCCAGTAAAATAGATTACTACACAAAATAAATTTATGAGGAATAAATTATAAAAAACAGAGAAACATACTTATATCTCAACTGAAACAAAAGGATTTATAAAGCAATTTTTTACAAAGTAGAAAAAACTAATAGTAGAGGCCATAATATACGTTAAATACTACCACCCCAGATAAATATATAATACAAGACGATCCCTTTTTGTGTCAAAAATAATTCCAGACTTTATTAGCTTTCTTTGCACTTACGCTTCATATTGTCAGTTTTTCTCTACTACTGTATTATTGTTACTTCCAACTGTTTACATTTTAGTGTGTTGAGGATATAAGGTGTTAATTTGGACTAGTATACATTTCTGCCAATATCTACTTTGTTTGTGTTCTTCTATCCTTTCATTCTATTTAAAACTGATGATTTATGTTAATTATCCATTCTAATACTTTTTTATTCTGTCAGTTTCACTTCTGCTTACTGCATAAGTTTCCTAGTATAAACTTATGAACTAATCTATGAAGCTCTTGAATTATGCCTAACAGTCAAGTGTTTCATTCGTTGAAAAGTGGCTTACAAAACTGATAACTTCAAACCCTTTATGACACCCAATCAGTTATTTTATTAAAAACCTATTCTTATGGCTAGTGGTCATGTTTTTTTATACCAGTTTACTCAGTTACAGATAAGATAAAATTATAGGTTATTATAACTCGAAACATTTCGGAGGGATTTAACAAAGATATACTTAGTAATATACTTCAAAACATAGCCATTCCCAACAAGCATATAATTATCGATCCAAGAAAGCAAAGAAATTATGATGGGTATTTTATGATTTTCTACGTTTATTCGTGGTTTGTTGACTGAGGATGCCTGTGGATCAGTGGCTCAGAGATTGGACAAGTCACTTGATTCGCAACTATTAAACTATACTTTGGACCTTGTCCCATTTATTAAGGTTTGGATAATTGAACAGTATCATCAACCTTCACACGAAAAAATGACTTGAAACTGCGTACACGGATATATAATTGATATATTATCTTCTTTTTATGAATACTAAGGTTAGCACAACTGGATTAATAACGGTTCTCAAAACACCAAGAAGAAAAAAAGAAATCTTAATACTCCCTATATGACAAATCGTTGAATGACGCTATTAAAGGCAAATCATTGAGTTAAAGACTGTGAATTTTGAAAAACTAATATCTGTCTTGGTCTGGTAGAAGCGAAATTCACCATCGAACTAACCTACCTGGAATGATCTTCACAACATTAGAGTCGACTGCATGAATTTCAATGTTTAAATTTCTGCAATCCGTCATACTTTGACCATCAGAATCAAGAACAGCTAATCCTATCGCTAAATGTTCCAAGTCGAATTCTACGGCAGAGGGATCTTGTATACTCCATTCCTCATTTGTTGGTTGATTCGGATAACTCCTCGTTAATTCTTCGTCAATAAACTTAGCATTACGACGAGGTGGGATTAGAACTTCATTGCGTTCATACACAAATTTCATTTCAGAAGGTGGACGCACATAAACTACAGTATGTCCACAAAGTTGAGGATTCGAAGAGCTAGATGCAACTATGATAGATTCGCCGGGATTCTAGAATGTGGTTTAAACAAAAGGTATTATTATGAGACTCAAAAACATTATTTAACAATTTTCATCATGCATTAACCACTAATTATGCGTAAAAGTTATAGTTTCTAAACACACTGAATTTACAGAATTCTTATTCAACCAATAATTTTTTAATCGAACGACGTCCTGTGTACAGTGTTTATCGTAAGCAAACAACAATATTTTTGCTGTTTTACAGAAAGTATGTGAAGTGAAACTGAAGCTTACAACATAGTGAATAAGAATCGAATACACCTATTTATTCACTAAGCTATATGACCGGTTTAGTTAGTGTCATTTACACAATTGTAGCAAATGCAAAGCTACATTGTTTCGCACTGATTATAAACGATAACAATAAAAAAGTAACCTTTCAAATAAAAATATAAAGTACTGCAAATTATTGGGCGAGAAGATTGAATTTGCTAACTAGCCACACAATAACAAATTGATTTCTATATAATAATCTTTACAAGAATGTAATACAAACATGATACAAGTTGTAACATGCAAATCATGCAACGTATAAAAATAAGCTTACTAGAGCTGATATAACCCCTGTTTTAGTAATGGACACAACTGTGTTAGTGAGTAATTCAGGGTTCGGTAATTTGCCTGGATCAGAATGATGTTCTAACGCGCGGAGAGATAAAGCTGTCCATCTATATTGTCCACAACCTCCGTTAGCTCGTAGATGGTAACCAGGAATAGAATGTGTGAGGTTAGACGATAGTAGTTCTGTAGACCACGGTAAAATGACTGGTGTTGGATAGATTTTGATAGGAGAGTAAATGGTCACATCTTGATTGCCGGTTATGGTTGAATTGAATTCCACAACACTTCCGTCCTTATAAAAAAATAAGCAAACAGAACAGGGTACTTACTCATATATCTAATAAAAGAATTCTGTTACACCACTGTCTATTTCACAGTAACGAAAAAAGTAATAACTTTTATCGAATGCTTCATTCGTCTTAAAAGTAAATCGATTTAAGAACCGGAATTATGTATGAATTGCGGTTCTCAAAATAATAATCAGTGGTTGCCATAATGATGGTTAGAAAATTATTCAAAGACATTGCAACACGTAAGTAGGTTTGACCATATTTTTTCCACATTAGCATAAACAGTTTGTGAAAAAGAATTATTTGTAATCGTGGTGGGAACAGAGACAATGATAAAATCAATAGGTGAAAACTATGAAAGTACATTCACACCTACTATCTGTAAATTAAATCATTGTTAGAAGTGATTCATTTCAAATCCGGAAAAAGATTACTTTTGAAGCTGGTAGCAGAAATATTTATTGAACTGTTATGCTAGGATAAATAAACACAGATGCCTTAGAAATATTGCTAGCGTCTGCTGGGATCACCAGGTAAGTAATAGTGAGGTCAGACGCAGGATATTAGGGAATGATGGTAAATCAGTTGATGAGGTTGTGAATCTTCATCGACTGAGATGGTTGGGCCATGTGTTACGTATGCCCGAACACCGATTACCACGACGTGCAATGCAAACCGGTGTTCGGGATGGTTGAAAGAAAGTTAGGGGCGGCCAAACCAAAACGTGGCATCAGTGCTTGAAGTCACTAACTTCTAGTCTGAGCCATGTTGGGAGATGCAGAATACTTGGTTGGGGTCCACGTGACTATCGTAACCAATGGTTGGAGACTCTTGGTGACATGGCTCAGAGTCGATCACAATGGCGTCGGTGTATACACTCCCTGTCTTCCCTTAAACTAAGAGATTAAAATCACTTCATATCTTTCTTTCTACTAACTAACTCTTCCTTCCTGTACTATATCCTTATTGTAATCTTTCTTTTATGTATTACCACCTCTGAATTAACTCGTTTTATGAATCTGGTGTCCATCTTGTTGTGTTTATGAGGTATGGTAACTTGGACCGATGCATATATGTGCCTGGTCCTACGTTGTAGCTGACTGACTGACTGAGAGCCATAAATCCTTGAAAATATATCAGTTTATTCATAATTTTTAATGCATCTTAACCAACCATATAACAACTGAATATGTTTGCGTATGGTAAACCGAAATCACTTTAATTTATTTATGTGCACTTATTTACGAAAAGTAGATGAATTTATACTAGGAAAAATTTTTTGAGATGGATACAGTTATTAAAAGTGTTGTTTCCTGTGAAAACACTTGGCATACTAAATAGATTTTATTTGCAGTAGTTGTAGGGTCTTTTGTGGAGAAAATTGGTAAGACGAAGATGGTTCTCCATGAATAAGAGTTGGTCATCAGTTCGAACTCAATTCTGCTCCATTCACTGAGGTTTATACACTCAGGTAGTAATATTAGTTCCCACAATAGTGAAACGTCAAAATCTAGTATACGAATCAATATTAAGAGGCTGAATGGTAAGATGACTCCTAATGTCACTTCCGACAGTAATTAGCTCTTTGGCGTGGTCGAACTGGCCTTTAGTGGCAACTTAAACAGATTACACTAGATGGAAATTTTTCTCCCTGAAGTCCTACAGATACGACAAAGACAAAAAAAGTAAGTTTTGGATTACAAAACCAAGTTCATATTGATCGTTTTGAGATTTAATGGTCGTAAAATGTTTCGCATAAATTATCGGCAACTTTGGAGATGACATCTTTCCACTATTGCGAAGAAATCTGCTTTGGAAACAATATAATTCTCAAACTTAAGACCAAAAATTGTGAAGTGAAAAGCATCAACAAATTGATATCTTTAGTAGAACCGAACATCAGTAACAGATGTATTATTATCTTGTGAATGAACAATGACCGCTGTAAAAAACCATTTAGGGAAGTGAATTTTATAAACTGGATGGATACAAAATATCGCGCCTCAATTAATGCGAATCAGTTGAACGTACCTGATCTACGACACCTCTTAAGACGGCCTTGAGAGACACCGAACCACATGAAAATGCTCGAACAACGACATAAGTTTGATTTAACGAAGATTTTAAGATCTGAAACATAAGTCACAAATTTGGAGTAGGATATTATAGAAATTAACAAAGTGGCGCATTCGCAGAACCTGTCAACAATCGCATCATACAATGTACAATGCATCAATACCAGGCTTATGATTATTCAGTTAGAAATTAGACCAAGACCTTCTTGCACTGCTCACTGTTGTATATTGTCTCACCAGGGATCTACACTGAGAATAGTATGTAAGTAGTATTACGTATTATTAATATTTGACAGGTAAGTAACATTAGAACTAAAGTCGCATCTTATCTTATCATGTAGATGTATGTCATACTGTTCATTGTGAGACTTCAAATAGACTTATATACATCATAGCCATATTCAAAACTGCCATGCTATTAACACAAGTACCAAAACAGCTCAACAAAAACCTATACATCATATTAAACCAGTCGATTAGTTTAGTCCAGTACATCAACAAACGGAACACTTAGAAAAGCTATCAGAATAAACAAATAGTCTTACCTCAAAGTGGCTTTCTGGAAAATAAAGAGACAGTCGCAGATTGTCTGAGGGATATAAACGGTGGTTATTACGATCATATATATCTAGATTGATGACATAAACTTTCCCTGACTCCATAATCCATCTTCGAATAGGCATATAAGAACCGGATGCAACCTGATTACCATATGACCCTGAGTTTAAAAATGAAGCCAGTTGGCATATATCTGGGTTTTTATTGGTAGACTTTTGAATGAGTGTAAAACCCAGATAGGCTGGCTCTACAATCTGTATGAGTGAAGTTGGACGTCTTCGTTTTGGCAGACGAAGATCTGAATCATCGACTTTAGAGTTTAAAACCTCGTCCAATTTTTCTAGGGCTTCTTCGACATCTAATAGTAAATAAAAGTTGATTTAAAAGTAAAATAGATTGAGAGGTGCTAGTTCACATATTAGCATAATTTAATTCAATTATATTACGCATGGAATAAATGAGTAATGTTGAAACATTTGACTTACTTCGATCAAGAAGTGTAACTTCAGTTTGACCATAATTTAGAGCTTTAAGAGTTGAACCATCAAGTGGGCTAAGAACAGCCAAGTTCGTGTCATTCACCTGCAAGTGGTATTGTAAAGATGGCATGGCGACCTCTGAAAAATGAGGAGTGGGATATAAATTTATACTCATTTAACTAAATAAATGATGAAAGTTCTCATACAAAACATTTCATATATGAACAGGTTGTTTGGGATTTACTATATTTTGGGGTATCACTTAAACTTATTCAACAATTGCTTAAAGATGAAACTGTGATATCTCTCAAGATTATTAATTATGGTTCTTTTAAATTTTGATCAATTTTAGGGCAGTATTTGACCAGAAAAACACGAACATTCACAGAAGAGATGTGTAGGTGGACGACAGAATCTATCCACATATTTTGTGGTAAATGTGTGAGTCCCGTAAATTAAAGGTCTACAAACCTTGGGATCGCATTATGTCAGTATTTACACATTTATTTTGGAATAACATCGCATAAAGGTATCATTACCAAGATCTTACTAGATAATTTCGAATAAATTGAGCATTGAGTAGATTGTTATAAATAAATAATATATTTGTAATATCCCAAAGAGTAGAAAAATTAGATTTTTTGACGTTTCGTGACTTCGTGTAAGCCACTTCTTCAGAGAATGAATAACCAAATAGTGTTTATTTATGCTCTGAAGAAGTGGCTTACATGAAGTCACGAAACGCCAGAAAATCTAATTTTTCTACTCTTTGGGATATTACAAATATATTATTTATATACAACCGCATAGTCTCCAAACAACGTGATATAAAACGTCCATGTACAAGTACGCTCAAGTAGGGTACCAGCAGAAGCAGCTAATTGATAATCAGAAAATGACATTTTCAACACTCAAATGTGCCAATTCCGTCAAAAAATCTGAAACAATCCAGATGAGAACAAAACCAGAGCGTAGACAATACATCCAATGAAGCAAGACTAAATGAAAGAATTATATTGCTTTACATGGTGAGATGATGGCAATGTAAGAGCTAGAGATCATGAACTTACAAAGGCCACATTGCAACCTGGAGCTAAATACTGGAGCAATAAAACAGCCCGGTGAATCAGGTGATTAGTAAAAGCACAAAGACAAAATAACAGGATTATGCGTGGAAACTAATTGCTGAAATGTAATGTTACCATAATTACTCCTAATTAGTACAGTAAAGAAGAGATATGTAACAATACAATACTTACCTTGGTCATCACCTTGTTGAATAACGTGTACGGTGAAAGTCAGCAAGGAATTTGGGACAAGATAGGCTAGTGCTGGGCTCAATTGGGCATTAGCCATAACGAGAAGACGAACCTGACTGGGTAATACACTTTTGTAAATCGACTCATGAAGAGCCACACTAACGACCGCAGAGCCAGTACGCAAGCCACTTATTAGTTGCATGTAGCCCTACAGGAATAAGATATATCGTTATTAGCTAACCTGCATTCCTTTCGACTCAAGTAAAGCCATTGTACTTGGAGTTGTATATTCCGACTCCCTCCACGTGATAAATCTTAATACACCTTGAATGTCTCCGAACTCTTCATATTTGTCTTCAAATATACGCCACTCAAATGGTACACCTTCAAGCGACGTGAAGGTATTGCCATATTCATCATAAGCAGTTACTACAAGAGAAACTGGTGTATTATGCAGATAAAGCTCTTGTGTGGTAGTGGCGATTTCGATCCGATGTATGTCGTCAACGATTACATCACACTTAACAATGTGATCAGCATCTAGAAATGTTTTGAAAAGTGCACATGTTTACTAATTATTTTGGCATATATGGTGGCCACAGCCCTGTGCCGTGATTGCCAGACCGCAGTTATAACAGCAGCAGAAGAGCAGCCATTCTCAGATGATACTATTGGGCTTACTACTGCTACCTCCGGTGTGCCCGAATGCCTACAGTGTTAAAAAAAACTAACCACCTTACCATTCATAGCAAGCTCCCTCGCTACCATGTAGAGTGTAATTCACGGGATTAACACTATAGTAAGGCAGAAGGAGCTTGGAATCACTTAATTTAAAGTCACAATAAACGATGGGGAGTAAAGAGAATGCGAGCAAGACTAGCATCGTTCTAATTTGATATCGTGCGAAGGTCGCTTGATCGACATAACAATGACTGCCCGGTATATAATGTTTTCCTGAATTCATGTCCCTCCCTTCTTTATATAAAATAAAAGTTCCGAAAACTTTGGTTGTTTTCAGTTGACAGTTTTTTTGATAGTCTGACTTCAAATTTATTTGGCAATGTTTTTTCAGACTTTTGGAACTTAATTGACGGAATCAGCGAATTCATTGGTACTTGGGTCCTTTGTCAATATGATAGGAGACATTTGTTGACAGTGGTCTTCTACTATTCGTCACTCCCTTTTTTAAATAAGCATTGGGTGATTTACTGTGATCAACTGTAGAGTCAATTAACCAAGATGTATTTGATTGCGTTAAGCTAGAGTACTAGAATATTAAGTTTGAAAAACTGTAGGTCCAAATAGTGCGGTGAACTGGGGTGATTCTGAGGAATACAAGAATTACGTAGAGATAAGGCGGAATTGAAAGGTTAAAAATATTTTCATATAAATAGGGTTTAGGTGGTAAACAAATCCGGCAACGGTTCAGGGGTATCGTCCATTGATGGGGGTTCCTGAGCAGTTATGACCCAACTCTAAAGTATTCTTTCGTTAGATAAGTCCGGACTTATGGGCGTAAACGCAGTTCGTCAGAACCCGATGCTTGTCTTTTAAATGAGTCTACAGCTTTTTTAACTAAAACTGTAGTTGTGAATTCAATTTCTTCCACAATTATCGCTGATAGTTTGCTACGTGCCTTCTATATGGTGATCAGAGCTTCCAAGAGAAAAGAGGAGAAAAATGAAACAATAATATCTGAGGAAGTACCGCAAGCGAGTTACCAAACAGCATGTTGGTCAGGCACGATTTTCCCATGCTCTGTCCAGCTATTAGGTGTTTACTATTTTGGTTCTTGAGTCGCCCTCAGGTGAAAAATAAAAAGGATCCACTCCATAAACAATAATGGAAGTCGGTCAAACCTGAAAAATTGCTCCACCGATTGTATAAAACAATAAGGTGCGAAAAGTAAATACACAAATAAGATTGATAATTGTTTGGTTCCACATAAGTCTTCGGTTTTCAGGATGAGTTGGCAATCTGGAAATAAATAGACAAGGTGTAGACATCTTGTGTACGAAAGCGTGTTAAAAGAATAAAAGGTGAGACTATAATTTGTGGACGACCTTTGAGCGACGCTGAAGTGACTATGAGAGTGGACACCTACTGATTAGGACTAAGTGAGGGTTATAAAGCAGTTACAATCCTCATTAACAGTTGATGGTTAGGGCTAAAAATTAGATTTAGGGTTGTCACCACAAACCGACATAAGCTATAATGCCAAAACTCTATTTAGCCAAATATAAGAATGAATTTCGCACCAAAATTCATGACTCGTTATCTTATATCTGATTGGTCCGTTTATAAATTATAGTCTTTTCTAAAAACATTTCTTTTTAAATATATATATATATATATATATATATATATATGGATGAGTGAATTTGCCAGAAGTTGGATTCAACAATAAATTCGATCAGATACATGAACTTTTATAACTGGATTCGTAGCCGCGGGTGAATGTAGTACCCCTTAACTCGGAAAAATATAATAAACGGCTAAGGGGAAAAGGAAAATTAACAAGAGTATGAGAACCGAATAGGCATTTCATGGTCAGTGACATAGTCGTTGTCTCACAGGTCTAACAGTTTATGGGCTTGGTGTAGGTATGCATGATATGGTGAGACCTTTTAAAGTCGCTGAAGTAACCAGTTGGTTTGTTCCTCACAAGTGTTCAAGTTCTATCGGTCATGAGTATCGTTGATAATCGACCAGTGTTAGGAAATACTGCATTCGCATCCACTACGGGCAGTTATGATCTATTAGTCATTCGGGAGGACGGTGAACGATGGTCGAGGACTCTGAGTTAGTCAGAAATGAGGAAGGATAGGACAAAAGAGCGGATCAGTAAGCCAAAGTGTCCTAAAACGCCACACTGAAATACCGTGTCAGTCAGTGGTTAGCCGCTTAAAGTATGGTCAGTACAAGTGTTTTCTGCTCATACTAATAATAATCAACTGGAAAAGCCATACGAATTAATATTTCCATGAAATGAGGTTTCCTTTTAGGAAAAATGGTGGTATGTTCCAGAATTTGGTATGAACAACTGACAATAACTGGCTTAAAATGGGAGTAGCCTTGAGGGCCATGTCTCAAACTCAATGTTCTGATTATCTAACGGATCAGCTATCCATATTGGTTTAGAGGCGGATAGATAGAAAGAATTGTGAATACTAGTCAGTTGTGTGCACTCGGTCAAACAGAAGCTCTATAACAATGAGTTTGAAATTAGGTATGTGAGATCAGTACAGCTAATGTAGTAACTTTACAGGCAATGTGCTGTACGATATCTTCAGTTAATTAAGTGTTCGTAAGTCGATTAGGTGAGTGATCATCAGGGAGAGTATAGGTTTCAGCCAAGGGAAGTATAACTCCCGACTCATTGCTATAATTATGGTATGAACTTTTAGTCGGTGTTTGCATAAACATAACTGTAGGAAAAAAACAACGCTATTTGTCAGAATAATTCAGTCAGGTTATCAACTGATTTAGTTCTTAGTTCCATCGCCTGGATCGACCATATTACGTGATTCTCAAATCGTAACAAAGCTTTATGGCAAAGACGAGGAACCATTTATGAATAGCTACTTTCAGTTTTGACTTGAGGGTTAGCTATGGAAAATAAGATAGGTAGTTCTGTTTATATGTGCCCAAGAGTTTTGACGGCTCAGAACACACTCACGATTGTTGATTCTTAAGTGTCAGAAATCAAAAATAAAATGAAAAAAAATTGAATGTTGTCAATGAAACTGAGTTATATGTTTATATTGCAAATCATGCTGCAGCTATGCTCGTTGAATTGGTGCATATCATTTATAAGCATGCCAAAATGACGATGAGAACCACTAAAAGGTACTTAACCACTTCTTGCTCTAAAAATGATTCATCTAAGGACCACCTATTATTAGTAGTATTGGTCGTATGAAGCTACCAAACATCTTATTGCAAAAATGGTCCTAAGAGTGGTTCACATGAAACATATACGACCAGTCTAAGAAAAAAATATATAAGTTAACAAGTACTAAATGCATAGTGGATTAACCAGTGAAAAAAAGTTAATTCGCCTGAATTGCTTTTGGAATTCGTCATTATTACGAAGGTTCATTGTGTGGGTTTATAGTACGTGTATATTAGGATTTTGTTCGATGTTTCCATTCATCTTTCTCATTTTCTGCTATTATTAACAAAATCTAGCAAAATGGTTAATCAGTCATGTGAAGCTTGCTCACATCGCTCACCACAGTCGAAGATTCTTCGTTCCTTTATGACTTATCCCTTTTCACATGTTTCGGTTTATATTACTCGGTAAGTCGTTTGTGGATAAATAGCTTATGCACTCAGTATTCAAAAAATGAATATAACGTCCATAGATCAGGATTAAGAGATCTGAGGAGGGGTGGAATGCATAATATTTCAGAATACGAACATGTTCGTAATGCTTTTTAGATAAAATAAAATAAGCAAGATGACACAAAAGCGTTCACGTTTTGATCATTTGAGTAAACACAAGACTAGAGTAGATACGTGGTGACACTTTAGGCTACAGCCAAAACCGTGGATATCCTTGACTAAATAATTAGCTGTGACCATCTAACCTTTCTAGTCACTTGTGCTAAATTCTCTTTCTTACCTGTCGATTCTGTTATTGTTTAGTCAGGTAAATTATCTAACAACACGTTTGGTAGTTCATGATCTAGATGAGCCGGTTTTAGCCTATTAATACTTAAGGAGTCTATGCATGGGTGAGACATGCCATACCGATTAGGTGCTCCTGCGTTTACTATTTCTGACCTTCTTCATACAGTAAATGCTTAACGTCAACCTCATTCATCACATATTTAGCCTCAAAAATTGTGTGGTTATAAATCAATACCACTACACCAAAGTTCTCGGCTCAATAGTGTAGCGGAAACTTATACCATTTCTAAGCCGATAAGGTCTTTACTGCTTGAGCTCGTTTTCTGCTGGTTTCCTCCAAGGTGAAGGTATTTCTGGTCAGCTTTGAGATTTTCGGTAAAATCTGTGCCTCTCCCGAAGCACAGATTTTAGGACTAAGAGAAGAGGAAAGATCCCAGCATTATAAGGAGACAGGATTACTTCATCATTAATGGAGGACGACTGTAGTCAAGTTCAGGTATTTTCAAACTACCTTGCAATGTATATATTGTAGAGACACCCTTCCTGTCAGTTCACAAAACCCCACCACCACACACTGGACACTATGACCTTTAAAGAATTCAATGCCTTTGGTCTGCTAAATAAGCTTCATATAGACAAGTCCATGGGACCCGATGAAATGCATCCTAGGCTACCAAAGGAACTAGTGAATTTTGTCGTGACTCCCTTACTCATATGTCCTAACCTACCTGTCTAATGTTTTAAGAGATTGTCGAATCATGGTCTACTATGATACTAGTACTGATCTAATAATAGACCTAATCCTAAAATTGTACGTTTGTCATGATGTAACTACCTAATCTATAAGATCTTACGAGGAATTAAAATAATTATCTACACTGACTCATTGTATCGTAACAATCACCAGCATATAATGGAGAACACATTCAAGCTAGATATACAACAATATATTTAATATGAGTAAAAGCAAGTTGTACAGATCGACCACGCCTTCAAGGCCGAGTCATGCCGTCCGACCAATTCAAATTCATGCCATTCATTCTTCCCGCCTTCCCCATCTTTGGGTTGTTTTCCACTTTAAAGGTTGAGCATCTATTTTCCCAAGTGTCTCATACTGGGTATTGAAGATTGTGTGGTTAGGGCCCAATGCCACTACAAGATTACCAGCACACCTAATCTGAGAACGGAACGAAGACTCTGTGAAACAATGACAGGTAAGCTAGCTATCTATCCAAGCCCAGCTAACCAGAAAGAGAACCCTGAGTTTGG